TATTAGTTATTGTGTTTTTTGTTTGTATTTTAACCTAACCTATATATTGACTTTGTTTGGGAGGGTTTATTATTTGGAGGTGGAAGGGTTTGTGTTGTGTACTTTTAATGATGTGGTGTGAGATTTGGTTTGTTGTGATGATAGAGAAAAAAGGAAAAAGAATATTTTTATTTTTTTCTCCTATTGAAGTATAAACCTTTTTTTTTTATCTTTAATGAATATTTGATGTTTTTTGAGTAGTAAAGATGTTGTTAAGTCAGACTTAACAATTAATAAATTATATTTCTTTTTCATCAGTTCATATTTTCGTACTGAAATATTATTTTTAATTTATAATATGATCGAAAGTACGACATTTTGTCGTGTTAGTATTTGTTTTTTATTAAAAAGAAATCTCGTACCGCGACTCAATCAATAATTTGTGTTAAGATGCTCAAGTGATAATTGCATAGGTTGAATCTATATATATTATGTGAAATATTGCATAACTTTTACTGTGATTTTACCCATAAATGAATGTCTTTTGTGTGTGTGTGTGTGTGTGTGTGTGTGAGTTGAGATTGTTTTTCATCAGCTCCAAACATGTAACTATCATTATAAGGTGAGAATTAATTTAGGTACAATGGATTTTGGTAATTGCATTTGCAAAGATGACTTTTCCAATTATGACTTAGGATATACTCCTTTAATTTGCTTCCAAACTCATCATTTATATATATGGCTTTGTAGCTTCTACTTTTTCTCTCAACTCATCCCTATATTTTATTTCACATTATATTAATTCAAGGAAGATTTTTTTTTAACTTCATTTTATATTTGCCAGATTTATAGTCATTACTATAATTAAAGGAAATGCTATGGTCCCGTTACGGTACCATCCTGTTGGGGTGTTTTAACCGTTAGATCATCTATTTTATACATACTACATGTTATTTAACGGTTAAAGTACCCAACGGGTTGGTATCGATTTTCCTTAAGTATAACACTTTGGGTGATTCTAAAGTTTGAATGGTTACTAGCAAAAAGTGCAAATGTTGATTCTAAAATAAGGCACATTAGTTCATTGTCTAAGGAGCATATTAATATCAGCTATTAATTATTTGGGTCACCATGAGAAGTTAAATTTTGCTTGGCATGTTTTCATGACTATTATACAATACTAATTCCCTTAGGTCGGTCACCTTAATTGCATGAGATCAACTTTATGTGGTTTTCTATGATCTAGTATTACGAATTTTGAATCTCTCTAGAGATAGATCTAATTAACTTTTAAAACCCAATTAATATTTGAAAACAAGTCTGGAATCTCCCTTTAGG